ATTTCAATACAAAAATTTCATAATTAATTGAATTTTTCTAAATAAAAACTTATTTTTTTTAATTTAAATTAATTTCTATATAATTACATTTTAACATAAATTCGTCTCATTTTTTAGGAATCTTAAAATCATTTATTTTTACATTGTGAAAAACATGTAATAATTAACTAATTGAATAATTCTGAAACACGATTTTTGTTTCTACAAAATAAACAAATTCATTCATACATTAACAATTAGACATAAATTAAACACAAGTCATTAATTATCACTAAAATTCTTGATTTAAAATGATATATTTCTATAGTTTTCATCATATAAAACAGATTTACTTTACGTAAGATTTCTTGTGAAAAAATAACTACAAATTAATAAAAATTAAGCATAAATAAACGTATTCATTTTAAATGATATAATTTAATAAATTTCCATTGAATCATTCCTAATTACAAATAAATTATTAATTCTAACAAAAAGTGCAAAAAAAAAAATGTTTTTACAATTATTACAACTGCAGATTTTCTTCATTATTTTATTAGAAAGTTATAATTAACCTTTTTTTTTTCTTAAAAACATTAAAATAATATAAAAAAACATAATGGAAAGTTTAATTTATGCAAGATTTTCGTATAAGAAAATTAATTATTTTTTACCATCAATTTAAAATTATATAAGATTTTCATGCAAATAAACTGAAACTAATCAATTAAAGCTTTAATATAAAAATTCGTATAAATTTGCTTGAACACATTAAATTAAATGTTATTAATTTATTAATTAATCTCGAATAGAAATCTCACAGTTTTTTTTTCCACTTATCCAATTTAACCTCATTCCTCCCATTCGTAATCATTTAGCAAAGCGTCTCTTTTACTTCCGCTTCCGTTTTCGAATCCTTAGGAGAAAAAGAAAGATCAATCTCATCCCCCTATCTCACATAATCTCCAAGCATTTTCTATTACGCTCCCAACCTTTTCAATAGTTTATTAAAGAAGTTCCATCTGTGAATACCCGGCACATCTAGCACTCCAAAAAAGAAATATTTACCGCAATACCTCGAACAGTGCGGTTTCAAGCAATATACATTACTGTTTGAAACAGAAAAGATTTACTTAAGTTTCTAATTTCAAAGATTACTAAGCTGATTGATGTAATTATATCAATTTAATTAAAAAAAATCATCTTAATGAATTTATTTGATTACAATATCTTATGCAAATGTAAGAAAACTCCTATAAGTATTATTGATTCTGAAGATGAATATTTTATAGTTTGTAATTTCAATTATTTCCATGCGAGCTATAAACTTTCATATTTTATTATTTCTCTGCAGATTTTCTCTATTTTATTACATATTTTATGGTAAAACCCAGCGCCATCCACCAATCACGAATAACTCATAATTCTTCCTTAAATAACTATAAAAACGGCTATAAACTTATTACTTAAGCAAAAAAAGACATTATGAAATAAAATTTTCTATATATGTCTTTTTATGTTGTGTTTCTAAGCATTTTTTTTTTTGTTCAAAAAGAAAAATATTGATGGAAGAAAGTGTAAAATTTGGACTGAAATAAAGGTCAAAATTATGATATTAATTATATTTTTTTTTTGATGGTGTTATTAAGTTTTATGTAACATATCTATTTCTAAACGATTTGTCAACAACATGTGTTTACGTTTGTTTGTACATTGATGGAAGAGCAAAGTTTAGATTGAGATAAAGGTGGAAAACGGCGAAAAGAAAAGAAAATGTCCGTAGATTAAATAGATGGAAGGAAAACAAAAGCGGAAATGATGGAAGCGCAGCGATAAAAGAAAACTAATTTTGTTCGCCGCGTGCTTTGATGAGCTCCTCTCCATCTCGACGGAAGAGAAATGGAAACAGGAGCTCCGCTCCACCTATTTCACATAAACAACTAATTCACTCGAACACAAATATACTTTACCAGTCTCAACTCATTCCATGTCGGGATATAATAATTTCTTTAGGCACATTTTCTTTTTTACATAACTCATTATTAACATTCCCTATACAGGGTGAAATTTTCCGAACCACTTCTACCACAAATGTAGTTTTTTCCGACCACCAAAATACCATTTTGTAATACTACTAGCTTTGTTTGAGGGCTCTAACAATATACACTTTTAGTTTTCCGCTCAAATATTAGGCTATAACTCTATTACGTTTTAATTCAATCGCTGATAACTTTTTTTCCAAAAAACTGAGATGGAAATGCTTCCGCAGGCTTGTAAACAATAAAATCAGCTATCATTAGGCGAAATATGGACACAACATTGCCAACGGTTCAAAAGTTATAGCAGTTCAATTGGGCCACCCTGTATAGCTTTAATACTAAATATGTGCGGCTTCAACTTTATGCTTCACTCAAATAGCTTTTATATCCTAGAAACCTCTAAAATGTTTACTTTGATTAATTTTAAAGAATAACCATTTCGAAATACGCGTAAGTTATATAAAAAAAAAGACACTTTTGCAGTTTAGATGTTCGAGTAAATTAAATTCCGTTTAAAACTTTAAGTAAGACAAATCGTTAATAAATAAGAAAGCGGAGAAACGATGTTTTCCTCTAAATAAAAAAAAAACGCCCCAAAGGATCCGGAAGGACGACACTCGTGGGTATTTGAATATCCCGCCACTTAATGACACTTATGTTGCCTCCCCGACGCACTTCCGCTGCGTGAAATTCGCGTCGCTGATTTTATTCTATGTTTTTTTTTGTTGTTCATCGTTGATGTTGTTTCATCCGCTCTCCTTTTTTTCTACTCTCATCCTCATCCGTTCCCGCTCCTTTGGCGCGCTTTTTTCGAAATTGCGCGATATTAAATTTTATCGCTCCATTTACTTTAATTTCATCCAGACGCAAAACGCGGAACGCTACAAATTGCCCAAGAAAATCCAACGGCGAACAAAAAAAAATTATATTTTACAAGAACAAATAAATAACAGATTTATTTAAAGCCACCCATGAGAATTCCATTTATCACTTCTCTACAACGTGTCATGTCATGACAAACATAATAAAAAATAAATCCAACAACTTTTATCAAATTTCTAACAAATTCTTTCAAAAAGAAAACAAATTACAAAATTATTATATATTAAAATCTTTATAACAGATCACAAAAATTTTCAATATATTTTTTGATACAATTTTTTTAACAATTTTGCTACAGAAAACGAACTAAAATATTTATAAATATTTCAAAAAAAATTATAAAAATTATAATATTTTTGTCTGAATAAAAAAAAATTTGGTTACATTATTATTGTGGTTTTGATTTCTCTCTTAATTTAAGATTGAGTTTTTGTTGCTGCAATATATCGTCTTCATTCTAACAAAGTTTCTTTAAATATCTTGCTAATTGCAAATAATGTACATTTCCAATGAGTTAATTCTTCCTTAAATAACTATAAAAACGGCTATAAACTTATTACTTAAGCAAAAAAGACATTATAAAATAAAATTTTCTATATATGCCTTTTTATGTATTGATGGAAGTCCCAGGCAAAACCACACAATACCTAGTTTACAACCATTCTCGTATTAGGAGGTAGCAAATCGATATTTCCCACCCATTAATAAATCAAAAAACATTACATACAAAATTAACGTAAAAATAATCCACTTGAAATGTTATTGTACATTTTAAGTGGACCATTACCAAATAATATACAAAAAAAAAATCTTTTATCAATCGTAAAATATTTCAAACGTACTTATTGCAAAATTTATTTTGTGAAAAACCGACAACATCATCCACCAAATAAAGTAACAAAAAAAAAAACAATATTTCGCACCAAAAAATCACCATTACTATACAAAATTAACGCATTCGTTTTACAATGGATTTATTCCCAAATTTCGCGCGGATTATTATTTCATTTTGTTGCGAAAACCCGAGAACGCAATGTTTTAATTTAGATTCAGGGATGGATGAAAACAAACAAACAAAAAAAACATATTAAAATTACTAAAATAAAAATTGCGAGGCAGAACGAAACAAACGACTGCGGAGAGATGCACACACGAGAGAGCGTGCCTTTCGCGATTACACACATACATTTCATAGAATATTGCGGACATCGCGTACACGTCTATGCATGTGTGCATATAATTTTTCGAACCAAATAAATTACACAAGGGATGCACGACCATAACTATTGCTGCAATTGCAGTCCTCTCTCGCCGTCTCCCTACATTAATCACCGGTTTTCATGTTCAGAACTCCAAAACAAACAAAAAATATTTATATATTTATATGAATATACGTGCATACTCTCGCATGTTCATGTACGGTGGCGCGACGGCTTTTCACAGTTTATATCATATTTTCACGTCGAAAAT